CAGGTGGTGGTTGTCCTGGCGAACAGCCTTTAAATCCGCGTCGAGGACGTTGAGCTTGTTCGTCATTTCAGTCTGAGACTTGGTCGAGTTGGTCTGGGCGGCTTCCAAAAGGGTCATGCGCATCGCACTTTTGCCCCCAGACTGTTCGAGCCCTTTGATTCTCGCGTCCTTCTCGTCAAGCAGATCGCGAAGCCGCCCTTCCTCTTCTGAAGATATTCTAAGAAGACGTTGCACTTCAGAGAGTCTATCTTCCGCCGCGCGACGATTCTTGACTTCTTCTTCAGTCTTGTCCTCTTGATGTCTTAGGCGTTCTTCAAGATCAGCAACCCGCTGATCGAAAACGCTGCGATTGATAATTTCCACCTCAACACGAGTTTCGGCGGCCTGGAGCTTCCTGTTCAACTCAGCACCGGCATCTTCTGCCGCACGGCGTTCCGCTATCTCCTTCTCCGTCTTCCTTTGTTCGTTAGAGAGTCGTTCAGCAAGGTCCATCATCATGGCCTGAAGCTCGTTGATCTTATTCTGGGCCTGCTCATCAGGGCCAGGGGTGAGCAGCTCTCGGCCTCGTGCTTCGGCTTCCTTCTCTTCATCTGGCACGGAGGCAGTCTTCAGGCTGGCTGTCAAGTGCTCCTTCATTTCCTCAAGCGCCTTCAGTATCGCAGGATCATCATTCACGGGTGCTTCTCTTTCAACAACGGGAATGATGGGCTGGATGCGTTGCTGGGCCGCGAACGCTTCGGTAACAGCCAACCGAATATGTTCCATCCTGCGATCACGGCGCGGGCTAATAGAACGTTGAGCAGGCTCCTCGTCTTCGTCATCCGCGTCGCTCTCCTGCATCTCAGCAGACATGCTGCGGATTTCACGGCGAGTAGACTGATTGCGGCGGTGCTGAAGGGCAAGAGCCTCTTGAATGGAAGCAAGTGTCTTCTCGAGGGGCTCTAGTCGAGAAGCCAACAAGGTGCCAACAACCTCGTTGACACGGCCATCAAAGAACTGAGCGCGGTTCTCCAGCTTGTCATGTTCATCTCCCGTAAAAGCACCTTCCCAATCACTAGCTGGTTCACTTGCAATCTCCGGGTCATCAGGATCATTAGCGAACTCGGGTGATCGAGGGCTAATAGGTGGATCGACAAAGGGATCTTCCAGTTCGGTGCTCAACATGGGAGTAGCATCGGGGATAAGATTGAACTGACGAGGAGTAAGACTGGTCCCCTCTCTGGAAAATTCATCGATCGATGGCCGAAGAACTTCAGTAGGACCACATTTCTGTGCATTAGTGGGATGCGACTGCCAGTTTGAGGACTCGAGCAACTTGTTGACTCCCATAGAGGGGTCTGTCTCCATTTGCTGCATCACTGCATCGATCTCTTCGAATGTCGGCTCGCGATCTTCACTGATATCGACCAAAGGCCTACTCTGGAAGGCATTAGGAACAGTTACTGGTTCCGGCATCGAAAGCGTAACGGGCTCAGTCTCAATTGACTGAAGAACATCAGGCTGCTCAACAAGATTAGGCGATTGGGGTTTAGCGAATCGGGATGCAGCAAGGCCTCTGGGCTTGGGCGTAAGCTTAGCACGGGGGGGCTGAGGCGTAGACTCAGCAGTAGCCTCCTCTTCTGCAGGTTCTTCTGGAGCAGAATCTTCCTTCTTGTCACTGCTGTCGGAGCTTGCAAGTTGAGCAGCAGGTGATGCGACAGGGATAAATGGCACAGCATTAGCTGACAAGAACTCTCGGTCTTCGCTGTCTTTGGTCTTGTTTTCGAACAAGCCACTTGGTGGCAATTCGCGCGTGGCAAGTTCTGGGTTAAAATTGGGGTGAGAAAGGCTCTTGATTGTCTCCTCGGCAGGGGATGTTACAGATGGAGCAGCTGTGGTAGCTTTGGTGTCAACCTGATCGGAAGTGACTATTGATGACAGTGAAGTATCACCAGGCTGTGTCAGCTCCCCATCTACAGAGCCTTCTTCGGCAACGCTGCGATCATCCTTGACCTCGTCAGCGTGACCAGGTTGGATGTCTTCTTCCTCTTCATCAGGTCTTTCAGCGAACGCAGGCAACATGTCACCATCCGGTGCAGCACTCTTGGCACGCTTAACTCTGGATTCGTCAGCTAGCCGGCCATCAGGACCATCACGAAACTTATCATCCTCTTCAGCCCTAGGAGACTGGGCAGACGATCTACTAGACGGTCTGATGATGGGTATAGCCTTGGACTTCTTCGCTGGGCGTACAATGTCTTCTGTTGGAATGGTAATGTTACCAAAGATGGAGTCTTGACGAGCAGTGTGACCACGTCCGCCAGCAGGGGTGATGGCCAACGGCTGGAAAGGTGTAAACGATGGGGCGTCAGGTCGGAACTTTGGTCCACTCGTAGAAAAGCTGAAAACACCTTGTCCGGGTGAGAATGAGGGTGCACTGGCATGCATCTTGGATGCGCCAAACTGTGGCACAGGCTTGGTCGGTTCCAGAGACTGCGGGATCGCGTTACTACTAACACCTGCTTGGAAGGTTGCCGGCTGGAAGCCACCCGAGAAATTGTACATGCCCCCCGAAGTAAACGTGCTTGCAGGGTTGAACTTGAATTCGGGCGCCTGGACATTAAGTTTCGACAGCGATGGCTTGCTACCGTGGCTGGATCGTCTTGTGCTGCTAGCGCCAGACTCGTGATCTTGCCATGGGTTGCTGACAGTGGAAAACGTCTTTTGGTGTTGTCCAAAGGCAGCTGCAAAATCAAAGTCCTGTACAGGGGTTCCCAAATTACTGGGGTTCGTCTCAATCTCCTGAGCTTCATCCTCGTCCTTGTGTGTTTCCGGAAGCTCCTTCAAGGACCCCAGCTTGCCAAGACCATGCTCGTCGACTTGTTCTTGAAAAAAGGTCTGTGTTAACGAGTGTCCCCTTGAGTGGGGTCTGGGATGGTGCAACTCCATAGGTTTGCCAGGTTCATTAGCAAAACGCTCAGCGACCGTTAGTCCCTGTGATGACTGATTTCGACTGTGCACGGGAGCAAACGGCTTCGTCACCACTGACTGAGGGTTATAGTCCTCATGTTCAAGTTGATTACGGAGTTGCTCTTCAAGATGGTACTCAGCATCCTCAATCTCAGCTTGCAGGTTGTCACCATTGTGCATGGTCGGTCCTGGAGTCTTGGAGGGACTTTTGCTGAAATCCTCCTCCTCCTCATCCTCACGTACGTCCTGTAGGCGTGGGGATGCAATGGATCCCATCTGCTGAGGGAAGTATTGCAGAGACTGGTGACGCTGGTGAAGATTAAAGCCAGGACTTGCAGTTTGCTGCAGGCCCTCGAGGCCGTATGGCGACCGAGGAGACAGAATTCCAGTCAGGCTGGCCAGAGGCGAGTCAGTGCGGTTTGAACCCTGTAAAATACCAGCTGGATTTGACCAGCCCTGTGACTGAGCAAGCTGGAAGGGTGAGTTCCCGGCTGGTAATGAAATTGACTGGCGAGAGTTGAACTTTCCAGGAGCAAAGGACACCGGAGATGCGCCAGACGGTAAGCCAGGGCTTGCAGAGGCTGGCAAAAATTGCGCTGGAAATGGATAACTCGGAAGCCCGTGATTGCTAGACGCTGACGAGGTGGGGACCGGGGGAGAAAAGGGCAGTGACGGATACTGCACTGAAGCTTGTCTGGATGGATTAGTTGTTGGCGGGGAGATTGAAGGCTCCGGAGGCTCCTCCTCGGCGAACGAAACACCCAACGCGCGTAGCTTGGCCTCCTGAAGCTCGTCAACATAATTTTTCCATGCTGCGCAGACATTAGCAATTGTAACCAGTCACATGCAAACAGCTATGCCGACATACCGTTCAGGTCAGGTAACAAGACTCTATAACTTCTCTCTGATCGCTCTCGGGCCATGTCATTATCTGTGGGCCAATCCTGCCGGCTCTGAGAGTCATCAGTGCCGGGAGGTTGGTATCCTTCAACTAAAAGGTCGAACCCATCAACACTGTAACCTAGCTCTCTCCATGATGAAAACATCTTCTCAACTTCTTCGGGCCGAAGAGGCATGGGAGCACCTCCCGCTTGGCCGCGTTGGTCGTCGCGGGGGACGAGGACCATAATATTTTTGCCTTTCCATGGTACCTTCTTCTTGATTCGTGGAGTCATCATGGGCTCCTTCGGCAATGGTTTTTCTTTGCTCTTGATGGGTGTGATGGGGGTCTCAAGCTCTCCGTTCATGTTCTGAAGGTTGCTGGCCATGGTCTTTTCGGAAACATCCACTGTAGGGACGTCTGTTCGAGGCTCAATTGGTGATGCAACATCCTGTGCGAGATCGACCTCGTGTAAGGTCTGCTGTAGCTCTACGTCGGACATGCTGCTGTCCACTCCACCGGCTGCTATCTGAGGAAGCTCTTTGGGTTTCAAAGTTTCAACACTTGAGCGTCGTCGCAGGTGGCTAGACGATGATTTGCGCGACTCGGACTTTGGTGCCTGAGTAGCACGCGGAGTACGGGGATCGCTGTCGTCGAACCAAGCTAATTGGGAGCCGCTCAGTGAAGAGTGCTCGCTGTCGCTTCCGTCACTAAACCAGTGCCGTGGTTCAGCGTTGACCACACCAGTTGTATGGGTACGAATCCAGTCTTCGGTGAGGCCCCTGTGTTGTCTCCTAGCGCGATTGGCCAGAACTGCTGCAGCAGCACTAATTGTTGTCTGCGGCTGTTGCTCGTGGAGATTCTCCCCTGGCTGCGGACGCAGGAAAGAAGTCTCAATGTTCAAGTGGTGAATTGGCGAGTCGTCCGAAGGCTCGCTGCTAAAGCTCTGCCGACGGAGATTATGGTCGGTTCGAGGATAAGGGGAACCCCAGCTAGCAGTGCCAAAACTATTATTCTCTTCCCCAAACTCAGGAGGCGGAGTTCTCAAAAGTTGCGCAACCCGGCTAGGCAACTTGGGCGCGGGCAGCGGCGGGAGGGCTGGAGAAGACTCGATATCTTCCTCTTCGCCGTCAGCTGTAGATGCCGTCGACAAGGCTGGGGAACTCGGTGACGGAGGTCGAGACCGGGATTCCCCAGTGCCGTCCTGTGCAGATGCACCAGGAGCAGGAGTCGCCGACGAGATTGATGGAGACGTCTTTACAAGAGCCTGCTTCCAAAGGAGACAGTCCAATGGTTAGCTTGTGGAACAAGTTACGAGCTTCAGCACATGGAAGTGGTTCGCAGTGTCAGGGAAGAAGGGTTCAGATTGAGACAGAACACAAAGGCTCCAACCTCCTGCATGTACAATTGTCCCAACGCCCCTTACTCTTCCAAGCACATGCTGAGAAACAGACAAGAAAATTGGGGAGTCTCACCAAGTGAGATTCAGCGCAGACGAGGATTGTGTCGCCTGCTGCTGATTCTCTTCTCTATTTTCCCTCACAGGTTCGACACCGAAACTTGCACGTTCTCAAAGGCAGGTATCGCAGCCGGCGAGTCGTCGGGTCGTCGAGTCGTCAACGAGGGTAGCGCGACGCGTCTTCCCGCTATGATTCCACTCCAGGGAAAGGGGGCGGGTCAACGGGGCACCACAAGGCCACGGTGCAGATTTGCGGCGGTCGCGGGCGCGGGAGGGAAATTGTGTGCTGGTACTGGTGCTGCCTCCGCAAAGGTGTATATCTAACAGGACGGCGACAGCATCAGAAGAAGAATAGCACAGGAACGAGCGCAAGGACGGATCGATGCGGCCGGACACATCGGACGTTTGAAGGACGTCGTGGAGCCCGATGGCGGGAGCAGGACGAGGCAGCAAAAAAGAAGTTGTAGGAAATAATTCCAAGCGACTTGGCCAAAAGGGATGCCGGAGGTTGGGGGCCGCCACCCAGGTCCAGCAGTGGCTAGCTTTGTAAAAGTGCTGGCTGGCTCTGGCTCGTTCAGGCTTGGCCTTGCTGTTCAGGTGCTGCCTGGCAAGTGCTGCAAGTGTCCAGAAGGTTCAGATGTTTGTTCAGTCCGCCCGAGTGGCAGGTCTGTCCTGTTCTAATAGAGATTCCAGACTGTATTACTACTCCATGTCGATTGGCGCCGTATTGTATTCAGTCGACGCAGAGTCCAAACTGGGGCCACCGACCCAGGTCTTGCAGGCTGCTTGGGGCCCAAGCAGCACGAGCTACGAGGTGGGCCTATACTTGATTTGTGTTTCTCACCAGTTGACACGTTGACGGCCTCCAAAGCCACGAGGGGGCCAACAGCAGTCAACACAGCTATCAGGATCGAACAAGGCCATGTACCATCCCTAAACAGGTCGCAAAGCTTGGAACTCTCAAGCTGGGGCGTGTTGTACATAGTTGTTTTGTTCTCCTTGTTCTTGCACACTTTGGCTGCGGATGGAACAATGACAACTCGGAACTTGACGCTTTAATGAACTGACCCGCCCTGGGGTACATGGCGCCAGTCAAGACGTAATCTCGCTCCAAGGGCGAGTGATGGAGAATACAAAGAGGCCGGGATGAAGCACGGTTGCATGTGCAGACTGGCCCAGACTTCGTAAGTATTCCCAAACATTCGTCAGGTCGTGGATCCCGCAATCTTCAACCACCAAAGTACCTCCACGTCTAGTTTGATTACCCAATGCCAGAGAACCAGTTGACCATTTCCCGTTCTCGTCATTTCCGGTGCACATCAAGTTCTATTACAAACGCGTAAATATCTCTCCTGCTCCTGCTCAAGGCATGAACAGCAGAACAGAGCAACAGTCAATGCCCACAAGCTCTCTTCAGAGCACAGGAGAACGGGTGCGCATGTGTTACCGAGGGACTGGCTCATGCCCTCATTCACCATCGCGACTAAACGGAATGTTTGGCGACACGCCTGGCCTGGCCCCGTCCGCAGCACGAACCCAGCCAATAACCGTGGTACTACCTACCACTAACATTGAATATTTTGCTTGAGAGCTCAAGCACTAAAGTAGGGGTCCGCGAAGCTGTCCACTTTATGTCCACCGCCTCTCTTTGGGGAAGTGGACAGCTCCACAGAGTGTCTCTATTGCTCCATTGGTGCCAAGCTGAGCAGATGAGTGGCGAGGTGGTGAAGTGGGTGAAGTGGCCAGCCACCACGGTCGGGAACTAGTTGCCCGACGGGGTCTTCCTCCCGTCTAGATGTTGAGGTCCACGAGCCACAAACTTTGAGCCACGAGCGGCAATGCGTTTTTTGAGTTCATCCTATGGCGTCTGTCGGAGTTTTTTGGTTTCTCCTTTTTTTTTACAGGACACAACTGGCATGTCGAAAAAAGCGCATCTCAAGAGTAGCATGCAATATTCTCTGCAATTTTCGTAGATTTTGGTTGATTGTGTGCACAGAATGCTTAGATTTTTTTCCTCCTTGCAGAGCTTTCTTGATCAAGTTAAAAGAGGGCACTCGATATTGGATGTTTGGGCCATGACGCATGTCGGGTTTGTTGATATGGCACGTGGTGATTGGCTGGACAGATCCCTAGCCTTTTGTTGCGCAAACTCTCTCCCACCCCGGGTGTACTTCCCAAACCTCATTAACTATGCAACACAAAAAATCAAGACATCCGAACCAGGCAATGGAAGTCTCGGGGACACAGTACGATACTCTAAAAGATGACTTTGATGAGGCTTAGCAGCGGCTCGAAATGGAGCTCATTCTTCACGGCTCGCCTTACCCTACAACCCATTATTGCGGGGCAGCGCATTCGGTGTCACTGAACGACTTACACCTCGGGCCACACATTACATCTTACACCTCACTCATATGGTCTCTTTCTCGCGCAAACCGCAATCATCCCCGTGGCCTTCCGCTGTCAACTCGTAAAAAAAAGCCGCTATGAGTCAGCCTCTCGTCCTTAAATGGATCCTCGATACACGGACGCTCTGGCCCGAAGCCAAAGCCACCAAGGACCCCCCCCCCCCCCCCCGTCCCGTCTCTCCTCTATCCAACATATATCTAACCACACCTAAGGCAAGCCGGGCCCTCTCACTGCTCACCCATGAAGAACGCACCTCCGTCCTGAAGTACTACTTCGTCAAGGACGCCAAGCTAGCCCTGGGCTCGGCGCTGCTAAAGCGCCACGCCATCTCGTCCACGCTCGGCATCCCCTTCTCAGCGGCGACGCCCACGCGCGCACCGCCCGGCTCCAAGCCCGTGTTCTTGCGGCCAGACGGGTCGGAACCGCTCGTCTTCAATGTCTCGCACCAGGCGGGCCTCGTGGCCCTCGTCGGGGTGCTGCGACGGAGCGCAGACGGAGGAGGTGTGGACGTTGGCGTGGACGTCGTGTGCCCCGGGGAGCGGCGGGATCGCGACCACGCGCTGATTGCCAAAGACGGGTGGCCGCGGTACGTGGACATGCACGAGAGCGTCTTCGCGGCCGCCGAGTGCGCGCGGCTGCTGGACCTGGGCCGCGAGGTGGGCAGGGACGAGGCGCTCGAGTACTTTTATGCGCTGTGGTGCTTGAGGGAGGGTTATGTCAAGATGACGGGGGAGGCGTTGCTCGCCGAGTGGTTGGGGGAGCTGGAGATGAGGAATTTTGCGCCTCCCGAGGGGAGTTCAGACGACAGGCCGCCGCTGGAAGTTTGGTTTCGCGGCGCGCGGGTCGGGGACGACGTGGATGTGAGGCTTGAGAGATATTTGGCTGATTATATGGTTTGTACGGTTGTCAGGGGGGATGTAGGGGGTGGTTTGGGAGGTGGGTTCGAAAGTTTGGATTTGAACGCGCTTTTGGATGCTGCCGAGAAGAGTAATTCGTGAAAAAAATGATGGCACAAGGTTGTTGGGGTTAAAGTGAAACTAGTTTTTGAATCACCCGGGGAGATTGTTGGACATTTTGGCACTGGTTTTTATACAGGGAGGAGTACTCGTCGAAAGGCCAAGTTAGAGTCATTGTTCATACTGGTGTGCCAACTAACTAACATTCAATACAGAACCTGCGACATAGACAACCTCCCCCCCCTCGCTCTCCTTGTTCAGGGAACATCTACAGGTGCTGGCCAAAGAATTTCAAAAGAGTCTTGTAGCCGCGCTCATACTCCTCCTTGACTCGGTCGTTGCTCAAGTCGGAACGGGCAGCCATCCAGCCGTGAATCTGGTCTTTGAAGATCTCAACATGCTTAGGCACCTTGAGTGTGTCCTCGAACTTCTTGACATCCTCGGCGGGCTCGTCGCCGGAAGCCAGCAGGGCCATGGGGACATTGATGCCCTGGGCATCGGCCGGATCGACCATAGCAGGGTGAACGGAGGCGATGGCTCCAAAGGCGTTGTTGTCTGCCTTGGTGGCTAGGGTAGCGACCTTGCCGCCCCAGCAGTACTGACGAATTTTGATTCCACTTAGTTGCTAGATCCAAACATACCTTCATGATCAAGATGAGCAGGTCAACTTACGCCGACAATACCAAACTTGGTTAGAGATGCATACTGCTGCTTGACGGCTTGAACATAGGCGGGGACATTGGCGGCCGTGGCGGGAGGGGGGAATTTGCCAAAGAAGGCACCGAGCTTCTCTTTCTTCTCGGAAGTATCGGGGGGATACCTAGGCGTGAATTTGTCAGTTTTTGCCCTTGCGATATCTCTTTGTCTCAAGCCCGTACAGCAACTTACCATTCAATGGCAGCAGGGTTGCCCTTGAACCAGTCTGGAATCAAGACTTTGTACTTGTGCTCACTGTCGCTGTGAGCTAGGATATCAGCACCCTGGACAGTCTGATCAAAGTAGCCAAAGATGTCGTAAATGACGACAATAGCCCTCGTCGCATCAGAAGGACCGGTGACGTCTATTTCCCCCCAAGTCCAGCGTCAGCTCTCAGCTCACTCACCACCCAAAGGTTCACATCCGGACAGTATACGTACAAGTTTTGTAACCGCCAATCTCTTCATAAGCACCCTTGGGTTTGTATCCCTTGCTCACAATAGGGGGAACATTGCAGCACGGCTGGCTGTGGCCGCCGGTGGCGGGCATGGTCGACATGGTGGGCGATTGGGTGCCGAGGTGCAAGTTGCTCTGGTGCGAGGTTTGCGTCTTTGTAGTTGGCGGGTTCGACAGTCGTTGAAATGAACCTGCTGTGGTTCGAGATAAGCTGCGCGAGGAAAATAGTGCAAGTTGTAGGGATTTACACGATGGCAGACGTTGACTCGAATATCTCGACATCCACAATGTTGGAGAGGGAGATGCCGTGGAATAACGCATAGAGATCCTGGATTTACGTGCACGAGTGTTGGCCCTCGGAAGCTGTGGAGATGCAAAGAGGGGCCGGGTGGCAATTTTAGGCCGAGCTAGAAGATGGGGAGGGGCAATCGCAGTTTGGAATATCGAGAGAATGGTGTTGTCATGGAGAGCTAGAGCCGTGGTGGGGGGTGGGGCAGCAATAGAACTTCATTCAAGTCATGTCTGGTGAAAGCTTCGAGGACCATGGCTAGAGTCTTTGGCGCCTTCTCCGGTCAGCTAAGGTTGGAAGACAGAGTTCGTACACGAAGTGTTGCGACATCGGGTTTTTCTTTGAAGAGGTGGTGCCCCTTGCCTTGAGTGCTGAAGCCCTCAAAAGAAGGTATAGCCCGTGGTTTTGCTCTTCAGAGCCGCCAAACCGGTACGTTTGTCGCTAACACTAGGTAGGTACATATACTCCAAAGGCTGCCCAGCGGCATGGTTGTCTCGACAATCCGACTCTTTGCAGACATACAATGTAACTTTTTAAAACTGGGAGTATTAATTAAGGTGTCTATATAACTGTAGCATTTTAGTCAAGCTCGCTATGCAATTGCCGAACAATATAGGCTGGTTTGAACAATTCATCAACTGCCTTTCCACCTGCGCAGACAACGGTTGCATGAACCGAGGCATCCTAAGGTAGTGGCCTATCGGCGGCTGCCCAAAACCGGCGACGTGTTGGCTCCCGTGGCTTCCGCGGCCGTCCAAAAATAAAAATGAAAGAACAAATATCAGTATCGCCTAAACACGCAATCGGGTTTTATGTAAAAGAATTCCGGAACGCCCCGTAGTAAACAGTCGTGTGCACTGTCATCGATGCTCTTGGTATCCGGAATTAAAAGTTGGACGATGGGTTAACCTGACCAGGCTGATGGTAGTTTTCCAGAGTAGACTGGAAGGGGCTGCGCTGGGTATGAGCACCGCCAGCACTACTGCCTCGCTCAGACTTCTCCATGCCTCCAGTAGCAGACATGTCATAGGCCATGAGGCCGTCATTCTCCTCGCTGTGCTTCTTGCGTCCCCAGATACGCCAGGCTACCAATCCAAGAGCACCTAAAACGATAGCACCACCAACCCCAACAACGACGCCGATGACAGTATTTCGGGTCTTCGTGGACATGCCAGTGGTCTCGCCATCTCCAGAAGTGAGACCCGGGGTAGAGGTCGTCCTTGTCGTTGACGAAACAACTGTCTTGGATCCGTTAGTATTGGTCGTGGTCCATACTTGGACACTCGTTTGAACAACAGGGGTGGGTGTGCTCGAAGTCCGTGTGCTGCTGCTGCTGGAACTCGTGGTTTGTGCCGGGATAAAGCTGGAGGTTGGAGTAGCTGAAGACGAGGTTGCCTCGGGGGTAGCGGATGGCGTGGCACTAGCTGGAGTAGATGACGGGGTGCTAGAAGAACTACTAGTAGACGAAGTGGTGGGAGTAGTGGAGGATGGCGTAGATGTTGGCGAGCTGGATGGAGTGCTCGTTGAGCTAGGCGTAGATTCCGTAGTAGATGTGCTTTGGGTTGAACTTTCAGTAGCTGAGGTTCCTCCGACCAGGTCGCTGACCTGGCGTGCAGCGAGGGCCTTGACATCAATCTTGGTAAAATCTAACCATGTTGACTGAGCCACGGAGACGATGGCAACTGCAGCGAGCAGTTGCTGGAGAATCTGTTTCGAGTACATCTCGGCTGGCTTTCTCGGGTAGGGAGAGGTTATCGATGGTTCCCCCGGGTCAAAATACCTGTACTTCTGAAGGGGATGTCGGGTGTATTGTTTTTTCCAAGATGAGTGAAATATCACGCAGCAAGCGTGTTGGGTCCTTGCAATGCTATCAAGACGCGGACGCCAACACCAGGCTTTCGACACGCGTGATGTGACGTCTGTTTGTCTAATGTGCAGAGTTCTCGGTGCGTGAACAGGAGTGAAAGGAAAGGTGGAGCCCCTTTCGCCGTTATGGGAGGCGCAGTGATTCGAGATTCTGGTGGAGCGAGAGTTCCAATGATGAAAAAAATCTGAAAGGAAGGAAGACGGGCGTGTTTCACGATTGTCGACACTAAAGAACAGGGACAGGCAAAAAGAAAGTAGCGATGCAGACTGCCTGTACGCGCTCCGTCGTATTGGCGAGGCTGGTAGGAATTGGAACAGTCTGGTGGAAGAAAGAAAAGGCCAGGAGAGCGAGAAGCAGTCACGGGGCCCCAACGGGGAAATGGCCGGGATGAGACGACCAGGTCGGTCAGTCGTCCAACTGATCACTGACTGGACACATGCAAGGTTACCCAAGACAGGCGAGGCGACTGGAGGTTGCCAGCCAGCCAGTTGACATCTGCGCCAGACTGGTCAAGGGCGGCCCAGGGTGCCAGGACCTGCAAGGAAGGTGCTGTGTGAAACTTCGTATTCCCCTCCATCCAACCAACGTCTGGTCCATTCAAACTCTGTACAGTACTCCGTACGGTTCGAATACTTCGATCATTCAAACAGCTGGTCAGCCAGTTAGACACTTTAGAAGTCTGCCACCGTGCAGCCCGCAGAAGCCTGCAGACCATCACGCAGTCTGTTCTCCGGAGTCAGAGTGGCAGTTCAACATCTCGGGCCGTCCGAAAGGAGGCCACGGAGAAAGAGTATCTCGACACGTAAGCACCGGCAGCAGCATGGGGTATCCGCTATTGGCCGCCGGTGCCGCGGCCCCTGGTGATCTTCTGGGTCATGGCCCCTGAGAGACAGCTCTGAGATGAGACGGGTCATTGCGTGGGGAGGCATGTTCATTGACGGTTCTTAGAACTAGGAGGACATTGAAGTCCTACACAACGTCTCCTGAGCAGCGCCAGCACTGACAACCGGTGCCGACAGAAAAAGGTTGACATCGCTCCCTTCACTACGTGTTACTAGTCCGTGGCCAAGCCTTCCAGTACCCGCTGTCAGATGGGGCAACTTCCAGCCAACTATGCTTGTTTGCATAAGTTTATGCCCGAGAACCGGCCAGGCCCGCGGCTTGAGACATGTCAACTGGTTAGAAAGGACACGCTGCATGGAAGCATGGGTGCTATAATTGGCTTCTTGCAGCCCTGAAGTGTTTGGTCACGGTGCCACCAGCTCCTTCAAGGGCAAGTCATGCCCCAAAATAACAAAGGGATGGGCAATGCAGTGTTTGTGAGGTGCAGCCCTTGCGCCATCGACGACTCTCGACAAACCAGCGGCTGCATTTAGGTTTTGCAAAGATGTTAAAGGAAAAGGAGGTCGAGCACGGCTTGCCACAGCTATCAGCCTTTTGTCACGACATGGTTAACCTTGTGTGCAGCAATTTCAATCATCAGACGCACATCTTCCTTCGCTTTATACTAGCACCGTTAATAAACAGGATGTGCTTGGATGCTTCACAGTGTCTGCAACATGACACTATATTTTTGTTCATACACCGACGGTTGGCTATACGACCTGTGACTCTGGACAGTTTTCAAGGATTGCCGTTGAAAGGTCGTCTTCGATGACACGACATGGCTTGATCTTTGACCACTCGGGAAGTCCTGAAACACCAGAAGCGATTGTACGCGGCATGTCCAGTGGCCAGCGAACCTGGAAGCAACTCTGATTAGTGAGCTCTTGCGAATGGGCACCCCAGGCACCCCAGGCACCCTATAACTACCTCCAAGACTTTTCAGCTTTTGTCTCAGCCTTTGACTAGCGAAACCGCAGGTATTCTGACGGGGGATATACTGAATTGCCGGGCCGTGGTACACAAAAGTTGCTGAGAGGGACTGTTGCTTGCGAAACCAGGCAGGCACGCAGTTCGTGGTCGTCTTTGTTTGGCCACAATCTACAATGCATGTCAACTGCGTCCTATGAATCAATTTACAAAGCACTCATAGGGCAAACGACATTTCGCCAAATATGCTTCTTCGAAAAACGCTGTCCGTACATGGCGGGTATATGGATGGTATATGACCCAACACCTGCTACCCCGTCTTGTCAACAACGGCTTCAACGAAAACCCTCTCCTGTAGTGTCACCAATTGCCTTGCTGAATTGCAAAACTACGGACAGGGAGATGCGGAATAAAATCGATCCTGTGACAGGAAGAGCTGTCTCAAGAAGGTTTCTGCAAAATTCTGGACGCACCGTGTCGAAATAGGAAGTTGCCGTCAATAAATCACCAATCGTAGGCGGTTCCCGCTCACTCATCTCAATGGCCTCCATCAAGACACAACACGCTGCTGTCAAGGTCGATTGAAATGGAGCTCAAGACAATCACTGTGCACGCTGGGACCATTTTTGACCCCAAAGCCAAGAAGTTTAAAGAAAATGTATCAATCACCGTCGATCCTGGTACGGGCAGCATTGTTCACGTACTGCAACGGAACACAGGCACGGCCAATATCAGGGAAGGCGACATTGACCTCCGTGACAAGATTGTCATGCCAGGATTTGTAGATGCACACACTCACATCTTCCTACACGCCTACAAGTAAGTGGTTGATTCATCGGTAGGCTTCAGTGACCCTTTATCCTGACGGATTGGTCCGAGAGCGCCATCCCTGGACCAAATGAGAGACGAAAGCAGCGTGGAACGTACAATCCGCGCAGCGAATCATGTTCGGAGGGGGCTGCTCTCAGGATAACACTACATACCGCGACCTGGGCACAGAGGGAATGGGCTCATTCGACACAAACGTACGAGATGCCATCAACCGCTCTTCGTGGCGACAGAGTGTCTCGCCGGGGCCAGTATCCTGCAGGGCAGCCGTTCGGAGATGAGTCGCCACGGATCAAGCATCTCCGTTCAATTCCCGCCCAGGAACCTGTCGTCATGTTCAACCAAGACGAAATGAAGGCCATGGTGGAGGAGGCGCATCTGGCGGGACTTCCTGTGGCATGCCACGCCGCCACAGCAGAGGGAGCGGCCATGGCGGCAAAAGCAGGCATAACCAGCATCGAGCACGAAACCTCGTGACGACCGAGGTGTTTACAGCCACGCAGCATAGCAGGACCATCTTTGTACCGACCTTGGCCGTCATGGAGGTGCTGCGGAAGCCCGACCTGGCCAGGCTGCAGTGCAACGTGAGCCAGGCGTTTGACATGGGTGTTCGTCTTGCGGCGCGGTTAATCACGGCGAGGGCGCGCGCGAGATGGAGCTGATGATGGAGGCGGGTATTCCGGTTGGTGTTGAGGAATCAATGATGGATGGAGGGGGAAAAAAGTAATACGGCCTGAGAGAAATTCAGCAAACTGCCTTGATTTTCTTGTTTTAATTTAAGAGCCAAGCCCCCCCCCCCCCCCCCCCGGCTAGTCAACCGTATCGTTGCCCGGTATTGTTGAAGGTGTATGCAAGACCTGGCGGT